GTAGGTTCTTTCACCCTGTGACTGCAGATATAAACGAGTGTGAGACCACTAACGAATGCCGAGAAGACGAGATGTGCTGGAATTACCACGGCGGCTTCCGTTGTTACCCACGAAACCCGTGTCAAGATCCCTACGTTCTAACGTCAGAGAAGTAAGAAACATTAGGAACTTTATATTAAAAGTAAGAAGCTTCTGGTCCTCCTGAGCCTAACTGGTGACTGCGTTTGTGTTTGTTTCTGCAGCCGATGTGTTTGCCCGGTCTCAAACGCTATGTGCCGAGACATGCCCCAGTCCATAGTCTACAAATACATGAGCATCCGATCTGACCGGTCCGTGCCTTCAGACATCTTCCAGATACAGGCCACAACTATTTATGCCAACACCATTAATACCTTTCGGATCAAATCTGGGAATGAAAATGGGGAGTTCTACCTACGAGTAAGTATGCTTCGGTAGTAGTAGCTGGTGGAAAGGTGGCCATTTAACTGTGTGCATTGCATGGCGTCAACCTAAAACCCAAGGAACGTCACGGGTCGGCATTGTGTCCGGCCTTCTGAAATATATGTAGTAATACTATCAGATATTAAAATCTACTCTTTACAGAAGAGTGGGATTCTGAAAGATTGAGTAGACTCCCAAAAGTCACCCAGATTCCAAGTCATGGAATCTAATTAAGCTGTACATGACTCCCCAAAACACAAGCATGCCCCAAATAGGTTCTGCAAACGCATGCTTTGTAACTGTACAGAGAAAAGCACTCCGAGAGCTTCTCTTGTGACAAAATTTACTGATTGTTTTGATGTTTACACATTTAACCTGCCCCTTGATATATTTTACGGATTGATGTTTACACGTTTAACCTGATTTATTAACTTCCTTCCTGCTCCAGAGTAACAGGATCCCATTTCTTTGCCAGAAAATTAGGAGGGATTAATTTCTCAGAGACAATTTCTAAGGCGAAAAGCACAACTCAAAGTACTGTCCATTTGTTTTTATTTTTCTTAATAGGAAAGGGTAGGTTTCATTAACATGTGATGTTTTAGACTTGAGCTATAGAAGTTGCCTCAACATGAGTATTACACAGTTCAGGTTATTTATTATTAATCACTAACTGCAGGGTAGCACAACAGCTCTTCTCAAATATTTCAATAAAGAAACTTTCTATTTTGACCTTTTAACCAACATTTAAGATAAAAGCTTCCTGTACTAACATTATGCAGTTAGATGAAGTCCAAACATGTTTTTTTTTCTATATAGTAAACCTGGCATTTTGAAAATTATTTTTATTTTCCGGAAATTTTTTTCTCATGTATGAGGTGAAACATTACCAATTTTGTAGAGTATTAGAGATTTTAAATTATTTGCAGGATGTGCATGCCTGAAATCTCAGCATTCAGGAGAAGGAATCAGGCCTGCAAAGTTGAAGCCAACCTGGTCTCTCCAGTAAGTCTGAGGCCAGCTTCTGTCTGAGCCTATTTGAAGTTCTGAGAAAGAGTTCAATCTCAAATTAAGTATAAGAAAAGTAACAGAACAATAAAAATGAGTACTCTAAGAATATTTAACACACAATTAAAATCAACTCCTACAAAAGTTCTATGCTGGAATTCCACCTGTCGCCAGCATTTAATGCAGAAGGATCAGCCAGCAGGCCGTAGTTGAAAACCTACTGTGTTCTCAGTGTTATGCTGGCTGCTTTGAGAAGCTAAGAAGACATTCAGTGCACTGTTCCTTCTCTCAAAGAGCTTTTTACTTAATAATTTTACCCTGGGTCAATCTACTGTTTGATTCTCTAGTCTAATAGAGGCCACAGTTGTGGGTAAGATCATTCACAAAGAGTATGGAAGGAATGTCTCAAATTGTTCAGAAGAGGACTAAAGTAAAGAAGGACTAACTCATGAAAACCTCCTTCTGTCATCTTACCTGAGAACTATAGACCATCTCATCCACCATGACCTCCATGTCACCCTGCCACCAACTCCCAGATCCCAGCCATGGCCTGAGGTTTCTTGTCATTCAGCGCAGTATCACATGAGAGTCTTGATTTTCAGTGGCACAGGCAGTAGCTGATGCTCCGGTTTCCTACATGTCCTCACCCCCACTCTGTGAGCTACTGTCTCCAGCACCCCACTCCCCCGGGGAACAGCCCCAGAGAAATGATGTAATTCACATATATTCCCCACCAAGCATGTGAGCTGGTAATACTAGCAAAGCTTAGGCTCCACTTTCAGATAGGTCCTTGGTATGCACAACAACCCTACTGCTTCTCTGTGTCTTTTGTACCATTCTCTTCAGCCCTTGTACTCAAACGTTCTCAGATCTAGGAAGTCCTTAGACTGTACTTTTTAGTAGATAAGTCACTTCCTGTTTTGAAACCACTGACACCAGCACTAACACTAATAGGCATAAATGACCCATTCTATCCCGTGCAAATGTACATCTGTGCTGTCCCTCTGGTTCCCAAAGATATTTTATATTTGCCGGTCAAGACCAGCCCAGCACTGTGTGCTTCTCATTGCATCTCCTCTGGACCCCTACTCCATCAGACTGCCCCCGCCTCCAAACGTTGAATCCTAGGTGTCCCACTGTCTCTCTTCTCCTGTGCTCTTTGCTCTGTGCTTCCTCGCCCCTCAGCCGTTCCTTTGTCTTTCCGTCAAATACTCTACTGACACTGCTCCAGGGAAAAGCCACCAATAACGTTACATAAGCATCAATAACGTTAAATCCACAACCACTTCTCAGTTCCAATATTTGATTCTGCTTCTCTGTCAGAGGCTGCTGTCCCCTCCCCCCACCCATGTTCTCCATGAAGCTTTTAGTTCTTCTCATCTTTCTTATTTTTCTTTTTCTAATTTTTTGGGGGGCCGGGGGGTTTTCAAGACAGGGTTTCTCTGTAGTTTTTGGAGCCTGTCCTGGAACTAGGCTCTTGTAGACCAGGCTGGCCTCGAATCCACAGAGATCCTTCTGCTTTTGCTTCCCAAGTGCTGGAATTAAAGGTGTGTGCCACCACCAGCTGGCTCTTTTTCTATTTTTTAAATGATTTATGTGTATGTGTGTATTTTTATAGGTATGTGAACATGGGTGTGCCTAGGTGTCTGCAGAGGCCAGGTGAGGGTGTCAGATCCCTTTTATAAAGGAAAACATTTAACTGGGGCTGGCTTACAGTTTAGAGGCTTAGTCCATTATCTTCATGGTGGCATGCAGGTAGACATGGTGCTGGAGAAGGATCTGAGAGTTTTACAGCTTGATATGTAGGCCAGGGGGAGTAAACTGTCTCCAATGGGCATAGCTTGAACATAGGAGACCACAAAGCCCACCCCCACAGTGACACACTTTCTCCAACATGGCTACACCTACTCCACAAATCCACACCTCCTAATAGTGCCTCTCCCTATAGGCTTAGGGTAGCCAACTACATTCAAACCACTACACAAACACACAATGTTAAGAGAATGAAAAATGACAATTTTCTTTGCCAGTTCCAAGATTATCAGACTCTTACATGAACTCTTTAAAAAGGCTGGAATGATTCAATTTGTGGATAGAGAAATGCTAACATTGAAGGAAAGTGTGAAATGTTAACACATGTTATCAAGAAATGTGGGAAAATAAGAATTTGGAAAGCAAAGCCTTACCTTGGAGCCAGTGCAGATAACGGGGTTAAGGTAAGGATGAAGGTTCAAGCAAGCAAGAACTAAGCAATGCTTCTTTATCCTATATTTCCCCCTGGTTATTGCAGGAAGTATGCTAAAGAAAAATAGAAACTCTAGCCCCAGAAAAATCATTCTCTCCACCCCTCTTTTCTCGTTATTTTAGCAAACAAGCCCCGTGAGTGCAATGCTTGTGCTTGTGAAGTCACTAACGGGACCGAGAGAATACATCGTGGACCTGGAGATGCTGACAGTCAGCAGCATAGGGACTTTCCGCACAAGCTCCGTGTTACGATTGACAATAATAGTGGGGCCATTTTCGTTTTAGCCTTTATGAGGGTCCACCACATGCATTTAAATAAGCCAAAGAATATTGTTACATTAAAGCACTATTTTATTTATAGATATATCTAGTACATCTGTATCCAGACAGTTACACAATGATAGGAAGTGGGCATTTAATCTGTAAGATTCAAAGTTTATCTTTATCACTGAGTGTAAATTAGACATTAAGCCACCAAATGTTCTTCTTGAAGGGAGCTAAGCATATATTATCTGGTGAAACTTGGATTCTTTCCTACAAAAATGGGACCAAGCAATGATACTGGTCTGTGGTATGTAGAGAAATACATAATTCCACAGGCCATCTCATGGGTATGAGCCATCTTAACACCAAGAGCAAGGAGGAGGGGTTTTTTAACTGCTTTGTAAGAAAAGGGGGAAAAAGTCAATAAAGATATATTTCTTTAGAAAATGAGAATCTGTCATGTGTGTGTTAATCTGTATTTTAGTGATGACTTTAAAGGTACTGTTTATTGTTCATCAGTAAATTATTACTCCACAATATAGTGGTTTCTGTAGGACTCTTGAACTTTGTCTTAAATTTTACCCACAATTCCAAATGAATCACAGATCTCCTCACAAAATTTACCCCATTGGAAAGTCTATGAGGAGCAGTAAAGAAAACAGCTTTTTGTAAAACCATGTTAGAATCCTTCACAGAAGCAAGCATGTGTAGTAGAATTCCTGAAGCAAGAAGTGCACCCAAGGTTCAGAGAGAAATGGGAAAAGAAGTCTTTCCCTGGAGACATCCCTGTTTCTAAGCTTGACTTCTAGCAAGCCTCTGGTTTGCCAGGAAGAGTCTAGTCCTTGTGCTTGCATGCATAGAAGAAGGAATAGTGGCTCTTTAACCATTTAAGATTCACATTAGTCTCCATTCCCAATCCTATGAAAAAGCTTCATGTCTTGTTTGTGTAAAATAACTGCTTCTCTTTGATGTATCATATTTTTAACTAAAATAAATATTCTAAAAGATCACCCAGTTTTCAGAAGAATTTTTTTAATGTGGCCAATAAGAGATGATATAATTTTTATGTATTGAGAAAAATCAATTGTAATTGTCAGAGCAAGAACAATCTTTATATTTTATATATATATAATAAAGTAGGAAATAAGACATACAAAGACTATTACAATCATGCCACAAGTAAAAATGTCACAAGTAACCTCACTGCTGAAAACAAATGTCTTTCAGAGTTGACTAAATGTGAAAGAATTGTCAAAAAGACTATTCACTGGGGAACAAAATACCAGTCCCTGTGTGTAAGGACTTGGGGTGGGTTTCAGCCACAGCAGGACACAGAAACACAGACAGCACAATATCCTGCTGGGCAGCCACAGGACTGCTGGACTGTGGGGAATAGCCTCTCACCTGCCACACAAGGTCTACAGTCCACATAAATTAGAGATTGGCACAAACTTTTCCATTTTTAACCAATCTAGATGTCCTCCCATTTGGATAAAGCACTCAAGTTAAGAGTTGAATACAAGAACACTTTAGGAAGTGAGGATCTACAATATTTGTGTTGATTATTACTTAATGATCAGTCTTAAGGCAGATGTTGCTGCAAAGCATTAAGTCCCTACTGTACAGTGTGCTGGTGCCTATGGGACTCTAAGTTTTATTAGAGATTTCATCCAAAGCCTAAGATATTATCCGAGATTTTCCATCTTAAAAAAGACATACTTGTCTCTAGTTCTGCAGGGCACTGCAGAAGAAACAGGGATCTACAGAAGACTCATGCATAAATGTTGGCCCTCCAGCCTCCCTTCAAAAATGGCATATTAGATCTGGATCAACAGAAGCCATTAGCTGCCAAAAAGATAATTTCCCTTTTAGTCCAAAGTCTGGTCCAACCCACAAATCACAGACACATTGAAAGACTGACAGTCCCACGGAAGTGTTACTTTTTTTAAACTGTGGCAAGTGCACACATCAAAGGATGCATGGCTTTAGTGTGTGCAGCCCCGAAGTGCACACTTCAGCGGATGCAGCATGCTCACTAAATTGTGCAACTGTCTCCACTCTAGATCCATAGCATTTTATTCACTAGAAAAGCCCATTCTAGTCACTCCCAGAACCACTTGTCACAGACTCTTGTAAGAGCTACTACAGTCTGGATTTGTTAGCTCTGACATTTCCTATAAATAGAAACATATATATGTAGGCTTTTGAGTCTGGCTTCCTTCACTTAGCATGTTTCAGAGATCACTGACAAGCATTTCTCTGTAATTCTCACAACATAGTTTCTATCTGTAATTCATTCCTGGTTGTGTTCATTGCATAGATACACATTTTGCTCATCAATTCATCAGCTATTAGGTATCACTTGATACATTATTTCTGCCTATAACTCTTCTTGTCATACACTTTTACAAAAAAAAACTGATTATTTACTCACCTCTTTCAGAGTCAAAATTACCCCATTTTCAGCAAACTTTTGCCTAGGAGAGGATAGCAGTATTTTTTTTTTAATTTTTAATTCACAGGGAAAAAAAGTCTTGCAAAGACTTTATAGGCACAACAATCCTCAGTACACATAAAAATCATATGCTCTCTTTGACTGTGGTTTGAAATTCAAAGTCGGTGATGACCCAAATTAACAAAGGCAATAAAACAAAGGCCTGTTTGTTCTCCAGCTGTAGGGCTCCATCCTCTTGTCCTTGAAAACCATTGATCTGAAGCAGTTCCCATGGCTGGGAACTACAGCATGATTCACTGTCAAAGTTATAATTAGACTTTTTCTATTGGCACGCATTCATTGAGGATTCTTACTGTATCCCTGTCCAGCACTGGCTGGTATAACGCAGAAGAACCAGCATTCTAAGAGATTCAAGCGTATGGTGCCTTGGTCATTTTATCTATAAAACGAGAAGGTTGAAACTTTAAACCCTTTTTAATCCCTACCCCACGGATGCATTGAGAGCTCCCTCCAAGTACCAGAGTACTCTGTGAATATGGCCATTGTTGGGAAGTACTGCACACCTGTGGAAAAAAAAAGATTATTGTCCAAAAATAGATCCTCACACTTCTGAAGTCATGAAAATAGTCCAGTTCAGCTACAAGTTTTTAAGATTTACAATATAAAATACATAGGTACGTATTAACTCTTAAATGATGTCTTTTTAAAGTATTAGAAGGGCAATGTACAGGGAAGTCAGAGGCTAACACATGGCAGACTGTCTCTCCTTATGCTTTGTGGGTTCTGGGGAATGGACTCAGATCATCAGGTTTGCAGCTAGCACCTACCCACCGAGACACCTCCCCCATTTCTCTCCACTGATACTAACTGAAACAGGACTAATGTAGTGAACATCATTTTAAAACTTGCCTTATGCACAGAGAAGGAGCCAGTCACAAGTGCAGGCAATGTACTCCTAGAGAAATGTCTGCATTTTTCCTCAGAAATGAGGACCGATCCAGACCCATTCTAATGGGTCAGGCCTTGATGGTTTCTGAATGGATGGATGTTCCGACAGTGGTCAGGAAAGGACTAGTGACTAAGCCCTCTCCAAAGGAGGATTATTTCCCTCAGTTGCCAAATCGCTACCCCAAGCAGCTTGACAACATGTGATTTCCATTCCCTTGAAAAAAAGAAACTCTCCTGTCACACACCCTCCTTTTTAAGTAATCAAAGGACTCATGAACCTATATCTGATCTTGTTGGGTCCTTTGGCTTCTAAGATGTGCTCAAGGCTACAGTGTATTGAGCAAGGTCCCTGTACCCAGAGTGTACTTAAGAGTTAAGAGATTTTTGTAGCCATACTCCAAGTCTTAATATTGCCAGGCAATCCGTTTCCTCCCAAGCTCTTCCATAGACAGTTGACTGCATCACCAGTCAACCTTGCTACTTACACGATCTACGTTCACAGCCACTGTCACACAGTCAAGACGAAATCATACGTATCCATACTGTAAAGTTATTTACTTTCTCGAGTTGTAGCAAATTTGTTTGCTTTAACTCCAAAGAGACTAAAGTGCTTTACGAACAATATCCTCAACACATTGAAACACCAGGAGTTGATTCTACATGAAAGAAATTCCTAAAGAAATGGAAGCGTGTCTGTAAAGCTCACAATGGAATGCCCTGCATGTGGGGACTCTTAGAGGCAGAGTGGAGACAATGGGCTGGGTCTAGTGCTGGTCAAGAAACTGGATGAAAAAGCTTACAGAGCCCATGCTGCCCCAAGAGTAATGGGAGGATTAGTATAAAGGATACTGACATTCATAAGTTATTACTGAGAGAGAAATCTGCACAACATCACAGAAAGGCTGTTCCTTTGGAGGCCTGGAAAAGGACATCACAGTGAACCTTTCAGCCATCAGTCCCAAGCTCACCTCATATGTTTGAATGAAAGAGTGGAAAAGAAAAAGACAAGCTTGGGTAACGGTGCCTGCTGCCAAGTGTGATGACTTAAGTTCAATCCCCAAGATGCACAAGAGGAAAGCAAAGAATTGACCCTGCAAAGTAGCCTCTGACCTACACACACTCTCACACACACACACACACACACACACACACACACACACATATACGCCCGTGCGTGCGCACAGAGTCTAATTTTTTAGTTTAAAGAAAATATTTTAAAATAATTATTTACTAAGATGTAGGACACCCCTAGAAAGCACCCTTAATATGTCACCTCACTCTGTGAGAAAGATGTTTTGATGAATCTAAAGGATGCACTAGAAAGATTAATTATCTAAGACCACTGAGCACCGCCCCACGAGTTCATTGTTTTGGAAGATCCTTCACAAAACGGCTTCTGTTTCCATGAATTCGAGCAGTTGTGTGTGTTTTAAAGAGCTCAGTGTGCTGCTAACTTTCTAGTGCTCCCTTTAAAACACAGAGCAGCTGCTGCTCTGCTCACGCGCTATGCACAAGCAGCCCACGAGAGACAAAACCCTCCATTAACGTGTTGAATTATTTTTAACACACATACTTCCGTCCCAAATCAACATCCCTGAACGATGGCATGTGTCCATGTCCCCAGCTGGGGGGGGGGGGGAGCACCTGTGAACTACAAACCCAAACTGTCACACATCTGCTCCCAAAATGGCCAGCCTTGTTTCATCTGGCCCACAGACTAAAATATCAAGACTGTTGAACAGAAACGAGGCAAAAGCGAGCTGCCTCCTGCATGCAGTCAACGCAGAGGTCTGGTTAAGCCATTTATATTGTAAGCACATGTGCATGCTAACTCAGCACAGACTCTCTTAATAAGCCAGAACTGGAGTATAAATGCAGTAGAATTTTAAGGACCCAAATGCAATGCTCAATTCTTTTATAAAAAACCTTCCCATAGAAACTCAGTTTCTGAAGGATTAGCATTATCTTCAATTATATGCATACACCACGAACAAATGATTGAGTAAATATATACGTCTCCAAATCATTTATTTCCTTTAAAACCCGTATTCTATGGTTTTGTGTTTTAATGTTTAGACTATGTTTCATGTTGTAAAATACTTGATTAAGCCAGGTGTCTCAGTTTGCACCGTCCATAAGCTTTTCCTGACTCAAAAACTACACAACATGGAAGTGATTTGAGAGACTGTCACAGACAGCACACGTGAGGAAGGAAGCAAGGCCATGAAGAGAGATACCTTGAGCCAACAAGGGAGCACGCTTTGGACAACTTGAGCTCAGTTCTGGAATCTACCCCCACCGAAATTCTAGGAAACTCATTTTGGAAGTGGTCCATGAGAGACCAAACAGACTGGGGCATCACCTACCAGTGTGCACATACAAACACCTGCCTGCAAGTGAGTGGGCACTCTGGTGCTGGAAACATTCCTTGGGCAGATGGGAAAGGCTCCTTTATATGGAGCACTACCAGAAAGATACAAATCTATCCTAGCTCCCAGTAAACTTCCATGGTACAGTTGGGGTGGGACACTAACATCTCAAGGTCAGTTTCAGCCCAGATGACTCTGGCAACCACACAGTCTGTGGCACTGGGTCACTCCTTGGCAGTCTTCTGTCACATGAATCCATCACATAAATAAACTTTTCTTCTCCGCAGGTGTCAGCTATCGATTTACACTCATGCTGTATGGCCCTGAATTGACAGCTAAGTAGAAAGTGTATGCTTCATGGTTGACATGCCATCGATCTCACCCTACGTCATTCTACACCAGACTGTGGAGTGTTATATAAAATGGGGTGCTCTTGGATGTCAACTCCAGAGGATCTAACAAGGCTGAGGTAGCGAGAGCCCTTCCCAAGACCTTGGAAAGGCCCCTAGTTATGTGTCCTCCTGGTCATATACTCACGGGAAATTTGCAGAAGTAATGCTTCAGCTGGTTTGTAAGGTAGTACCTGTGTTTTAGATTCACAGCCACCTTTTCTCTCATCTCACACGGCACCTGAACTTCACTAGCAGTTTTTGGACACAGTTGAAGCAAGAAGCATTTATATGGTCAACAGTCAATACAGTATATACAAAATAGAGCTCCTGTCTGGGTACAAATAGTTCCTGGTTTATACCACCCTCTGTAGAGGAAGCGGGGAAGAGGAGAGGAAAGGGGGATTAGGAAGGGGACAGGAGAGGGATACAAATTTGTCAGCGCCAAAAACTAATCCATGGAAAGCTCTTCCAGTCCCTGGAGATACGAAGCAGTGAGCAGAAGATATTATTCTTAATGCATACTCATGATACACTTTATGCTGTATGCATAATTATTAATGTACCATATCATGAAAACACTTTCATGTTTCTATAAGATCCCTAGAAACTATTCTGACAATGAGGAATGAACTGTGCCTAAAAAACTCTTCAGATAATACCAAAAGCCAACATTTACTGAAGGAAGAGATGAATTCTTTTTTGGTTGTATTTTTATTTGTTTGTTTGCTTGCTTGCTTGTTCAAGACAGGGTTTCTCTGTGTAACAGCCCTAGCTGTTCTGAAACTTGTTCTGTAGAGCAGGCTGGCCTCTAACTCACAGAGATCCGCCTGCCTCTGTCTCCCCAGTGCTGGGATTAAAGGTGTGCACCACCACCGCCCAGTGAAATGAATTCTTAGAAAACAAACAAACAACAACTGGATTCTTGAGTTAACCAAGAGTAAAAGTTGATGGGATGGCCAAAGAGAATGGACCAGCTGGGAAAGTGCTTGCTACACAAATGTTAGGGCCTAAGTTCGGTCCCCAGCACTCATGTAAGAAGTAGGGTATGCATGCAGTCCCAGAGCCAGGGACACAGAGGAGAAATCTGGGATTTGCTGGCCAGTCAGTCTAGTCAAACTGTTGAACCCCAGGTTTCCACAAAAGACCTGACCTCAAAAAAACAAGGTAGATAGCTCTTGAGAAATAACACTCAAGGTTGACTTTTGGCCTCCAAATACACACACACAAACACACATGCACACACAAACACACACAATAGAGAGGAATGAATCATGTAAAAGAGACTGTGAACAGTTTTAAAAATATTTTCAGAGGGGAGAATCCTGGTGCTAGGGAATCCACAAGGATGACCCCAGCTAAGTGGAGAGCGATAGACCTTCCCCTCTAACTAGATTGGTGAATCCCCAACTGACATCATAGTTTTCATACAGTAACTGATGGAACCAGATAAAGAGATCCACAGCCAACCATCAGGCCAAGCTCGGGGAATCCAGTCAAAGAAAGAGAGGAGGGATTATATAAAAAAGGAGGTCAAGATCATGATGAGGAAATCTACAGAGACAGCTGAACCAAGCTCATGAGAACTCACGATCTCTAGACTGACCGCTGTGGAGACTGCATGGGACGGACTAAGCCCTCTGCATGTTGGAGACAGTTGTGTAGCTTGAGGGGCCCCTGGCAGTGGGACTAGGATCTGTCCCTGGTGCATGAGCTAATTTTTGTAGTCCATTCCCTATGGTGGGATGCCTTACTCACCAGCCTTGATGCAATTGGGGAGGGGGGCTTGATCCTGCATGGACTTATTGTGCCAGGCTTTGTTGATTCCCCATAGGAGGTCTTGCCTTTTGGGAGGAGTGGATGGGGATGAACTGGGGGAGGTGAGAGGGAGCAGGAGGAGGGGTGAGAAAGAGAGCTGTGGTTGGAATGGAAAATGAATGATAAATGATAAATTTATTTTCTGAGTATCATGCATGCTGCATAAAATATAGTATGACTGTACATTAGGAATCACGTTCTGCTCCAACCCACACATATGCAAAAATGAACAGTGACACAAGACTGAGAACTGGCAGCACTCACCACTACAGACCTCGCATATCGAAGAGTATCAGATGAATTTCTGTGCAAGAAAATTTATCGTGATCCAAACTCACAGATCTGACAAGACAGAAATTTGACAGAGGTATCTCAAATTAGGCAGTACAAAAAAAAAATGCATGGCCTAATAACTATTAATGAAGATAAAGAAACTTCTGTAAGTATTAATTTAAGAAAATCTCAATCATATGAGAAGCAAGACATGAGCATCTTGCTATTTTCACTATAAAAATGACATAAAACCGTTTGCGGAGAAACACGTTACATGAGAGTGCTCAGCAGTTAGCTAGGGGCAAGGGAGTGGTTTTGCAGACTTGGCGAATTTTGCTAATATTTGTCAGTTTTTTAAATATGCAATTTCTAGTGATATCATTTATAATTTTAAATAAAAATTTACTCACTTCTAATTGTGTGCTCCTTTTACATCCATTCCCTCACATTGAGCCCCAACTATTTGCACACTTCGGTCAAAACTCGGCATCCCTGGTAAAGGCGGACCAGATCTGCCCTCCTGGCACACAACCGGGACTTCTGTGGGAACCATAGAACGACACTTTCTTCATCCATTTTGTTGTTGCTGAAACAAGATACCTAATGCTGGACACTTTACAATGGAAAGAAATCTATTAGCTGAACGGTGGTAGCTTTGAACTCACAGAAATCTACCTGCCTCTGCCTCCCACAGGCTGGTCTACAGAGCAAGTTCCAGGACAGGCTCCAAAGTTACACAGAGAAACCCTATCTCAGAAAACAGAGAGAAAGCTAAAAGGAGAAAGAAAAGGGATCTCAACCTTCCTAATGCTGCAACCCTTTAATTCAGTTCCTCATGTTGTGGTGTCCCCCAACCATAAAATTATTTCATTGCTACTTCATAGATGTAATTTTGCTACTGTTATGAATGGTAATGGAAATATCTGTCTTAAGGGACCCCTGAGAAAGGGTCGTTTGACCCCCAAAAAAGTAGTGACCCACAGGTTGAGAATCCCTGTCTTAAAACTCATAATATTGGAAGTTGAACATCTAAGTTAGGTAGACCCATCACTTCAGTTCTGGTGACAGCATTCCAGCTGTGCCCAAACATGGCTCATGCACATAAATGAATGCAAGAGTGATGTGGAGGAGATCATATGGTCAGAGTGCTATGGGATCGAGGCAGGCCATGCTTTGTTCTCAAGAACTAATCGACTTCTTCAAGAGTCCATGAATCTAAATTCATCTCTTCATGAGGATAGTTTTTTCCCAAAAGACTCCTACTAGACTTGTCTTCTTAAGGTCTCAGTACCATTCAATACCTGCTATACTTTTGATAACATTACTGTAAGGACCTTTAAATATTATCATTTTGAGAACCAAGCTTCCATGTGAGTTGTGGAGAAGACGAACTACTCCTGAAACACAGAAGACACTTAACCTGGGTCTTAGAACATTTGAATGAGCAGGAAAGGGTGCAGGGGAAGACCTTTTATTTTGGCCATGCTGCCTCTACTTACCAGCATTATTTAATCATTTTGGCAGTAATTGTAGACTTAAATGTATTCAGCTTTAACTCAAATTCAGACATTTAAAATATATTTTAGGGGCTGAAGAGATAGATCAACAGTTAAGCGCACTGGCTGCTCTTCCAGAGGAAGATTTAATTCTCAGCATCCAAATCCACATGGCAGCTCACAATTGTCTGGATCTCCAGTCTTGGAGATGATGTCCTCTTCTGGCCTCCTTGGGCACCAGGCATGAAAATGATGCACATATAGACATGTATCATGCAGGCAGATAAGAGTGTGTGTGTGTGTGTGTGTGCACACACGCGCGCACGTGCATGTGTGCATGTGTGTGTTGATATGTGGTTTTCTTAGAATGTCAACATTCTGTTCACTTGTTTTACCAATGATTGTTTCTTCCTTATATCTTTTAAGCAGCTGTTAATGAGAAAGGAAAGACTTCAGGGCTACCTATACTCTGATTGTATTGCACTCTGGACCCTGCCTTATAGTACTAGCATCTTTTACTGAGCAACAACCATGCATCTAAGCCTGGGCTAAGTACTAAGGGAAAAGACTAAAAAATGACATATAAGCTCTGCTCACAATAAACTGGAAATATACTCATATAATTAAAGAGAGTATCTCGAGTCCCACCCTTTCCATCATTTCCTGAGCACTTACCACCGACAGGAGCCCTCAGCTCCTCATTTCACACATCATTCTCACCATGGGAAGGGGGATGATGGGCTCTGCTTTACTAGTGAAAAATTAGCGTCAATGATTTGGTTAGGGCCAAACATCAGGCATGGTAGAACTAAAACTGGAAACAAGAACCAACTTAAACATTGACCAAGGCAGCTAAGGCACCTAATCCAAGAACACAGAGAAAGCCCCTCTGTGCTCTTCAAGATGGTGGAATTGGGTTTCTTCAGGAAAAGACTGTTTTAGCAAGGGAGACTTACACGGAAATCAGAACACAAACACGGGGTAACAAGCACATAAATCTTGTGGTTCATAACTCTCAACCAAGGTCTTGACCCCTAGTGCTGACTCACGTGACAAATCTCACTCCAACCAGCTGTTTTTTCCTCTTTCCTCATTATTTTCTCTGTATTTCATTAACTGCACAGGCAGACACCATTCTTAGGGTTTTCCTTTTTTCAAAAACATATCATCTGTTGTGGGGGGAAACATAATTATCAAATAATCCCAAAATGAATATAATTTGCAAATTGCAGCTGTGGCAAGTACTAAAACATGGCATGAGATATTACACAAGTCTGTAATGGGGAAACATCTGTCCATCTAGAGAGGCCTCCCTGGCAATATGTCTCTTCTTAAAAATGAAAAAAAACTAAGTATATTTTTAAGGTTAATATTGACAAAAGGATCTACATATACAAATGCTTTTGGAAGGAAAGAATATTTCTGGAATAAAATATAAGAAACTAGAACTCTGATGTGGCTGGAATAAAGGATAAAGCTTAAGAGCTAGGTAGAACCCACTGAAGTTTTAGCTTTACTCTCAGAGAAGTGGAAAAGGATTTAAGCACTTAAGGAGATAAAATGTTCTCCGGGTTTTACTTGTCAACGTGACTAAGAGGTGGAAATGGTGCAGGTAGGAATTCCCATTTAGGATGAACATGGCAACTCAGTGGAGATCTTTGGTAGAGAGCGTGAGCAGAAAGTTATAGGTTCAACATAGTTATGAGACAAAATCAAGGACGTGATGCTGGAGAGTGTGGGGAGATGGGCATGTCAGGAAAGAAAGGGTTTCTGGCTCCTATTGACAACTAGGCAGGCTACCATTTTCAAGACAGGATAAAGGAAGGTCGTTTCTGTGATCATGTTTGGAACTGGCCATTGGAGCCTGGTGGCCCACCCATGAGTAGACAACAGAAGATAATGCCGTCCTTCCCCCAAATCCACCAGCAGCTAACATCTCAGCAGAGAAGGGGAGGGCTCTGTGAACAAATCCATGTTTGACGGACAAGCCCAGTCTTGCACAGGCTCAGCAAATCCCTATCTCAACACCACTTACTCATTCACTAAACATCCAAAGATCCACTGTTGCCACAGACTACTCAGAGATGCCACACACGCGGAGGGCAGAAGCAAGGAGGGCTGTATATCCACTCTTTACTAAATTAATTTTAGCTAATAAGTAAAAATATAAAAATTATGCATATCCATGGCATGCCTAGCCAGGCCTGTAATTTCAGAGTTCACAAAGCTAATGCAAGAGGGTCACAGGCTCCACACCTTCCTGGCCTACAGCTTTTAAGACCAACGCGAACAACTTAGCAATGTTTAGGAACTATATTTTACTCTTAAAAAGAAATATTAAAAATGAGTTTCCTATTTATGAAAACACACACATATATATGAGTATTAATATTATTTTTAATAATTGAGCATTATGAGCAATTAAAATTTCTAATTAAAAATTTAAAAACCACACGCATGTGTGAGTTCCTTGAATTACTGACATGCCCTCTTCAGATCAGCCAAAGATGCTGTTAAACGTAAGTACAGAAAATTCCTGAGCAAGCACACTCTTGTAAGCCTAGCACTCAGGACCCTGGCAGAAGCAGGGCAATCATAAGACGACTCTGGACTACATAGACCTCTCATAAATCAATCAAAAATTAAAATAGAGTATTCTTTACTGGGTAACGGTGAGTAATGAATGAATACAGTAAATACTCTGTTGTTTGAAGATTAATGTAGAACTGTTAAATATCAGCTGCTACTTTAACATGTTTGAATATGTGGGAGGGAGTGTGAGTGTGGGTGTGTGATTGTGTGAGTGGGTGGATGAGTGGGTGTGACTGTAGGTGTGAGTGTGGGTGTGAGTGTAGGTGTGAGAGTGAGTGTGGTGTGAGTGGGTATGAGTGTGGATGAATATGTGAGTGTGAGTGGGTGGGTGAGTGGGTGTGACTATAGGTGTGAGAGTGAGTGTGGTATGAGTGGTGTGAGTGTGGGTGGGTAAGTGAGTGTGAGTATGTGAGTATGAATGTGGGTGAGTGTGTGAGTGTGAGTGTGTGAATGGGTGGGTGAGTGGTTGTATGTGAGAGTGTGAGTACAAGAGTGAATGTGTGAGTGTGGGTGGGTGTGAAAGTGTGAGTGTAAGAGTGAGTATGGGTATGAATGTGTGTATGTGTGTGAAACTATATGAGGGTGTGAGTATGTGACTATGAGTTGGTGTGAGTATGTGTGAGTGTGTATTGTGTGTGTATTGTGTGAGTGTGTGTGTGTTTTAATCGCTCAAGGTTTGGCACATTTTCTTCTGCTGAGTGAGAACTCGTGCAATGAACTGTGAGGAAAACTACAGACATTCTAGGGCCATTTTACCACACCAGAAACAACTTCACCCAGCTCCAGTTGCATGTTCTCCCGAGTTCTAAATCTAAACCATGGCAAAACAACCACAGGGGACTGATATATGGCATTCACTTCCTGTTCCAAGAAGCTAACTATAAAGGAATGGGAACTAGAAATATTAGCCCCTTAGGCAGTAGCTCTCATCTTTTTTCCTAAGAGAACTTTCAAAACCTCTGTAATGAAATTGCTGAAAGCACAAAACACATGATGCCATGGCTGCCCTGAAAGAACGAACACGTGGTTCCGTGGCTTGCCACGAAACGGCAAACAAGAGATGCCGTGGCTCCATGAAACAGCAGTCCATAAACACTCTGGAGGAGAGCAAGTTAGACATCTACGCCAAGAAACCAGCAAAGCTGGGTTGCTGATTTTGCTTTTCAGGGCCCTGAGTGCCAGTCAGAAGATCCTGTTTTCAAGTCAAGGAAACCGTATCTAGACACTTCCTTATTCGCGAGTGTTCGGAGGAAGGTGGCACAAGTTTCCTGGCAAATTAAAGTAGAGAATCCATATGAAGTAAAGAACAGAAAAGGACGTGCCACAGCACTAGTTAGCTCTGCCAGATGTTTCAGTAGCAGAGAAATCCCTGCAAATTAAACACAACGGCCGGTTAGTGTCCCTGTAACTTCAGTAACAAGCTATTTGGTGAGGAAGCGGTTCAGGTCTTGGCTCCTGACAGTTTTATAGACCACAGTCAAGCTTCTCAGCAGTGTTTGGAGCAGGCGTGGCTGACTAGCAGCTAGATTATGCAGACGGACTTCCCGCTTGTAGATACATATTTACTTTACAAAGAGAGCCAGTAAACCATCTGACCAATTAGGCCCCAGATTCTTTGGGTCTCATGAAAGCTAAGAAAAGACCAGATGTAAAAGCCTGAGGACACATTCAGGCTGGAGCGTCCTCTAATGGGTCTTTCCTACAAGTGCTGTAAAAGACTGCCAGAGTCCACTCGTCTTCATCACGGACACAGCGAAAAACAGTGCGTGCCTCTGAGAGTCCAGCTGTGTGGGTATAAAGATGCACACACTGGCAATCCATGGAACATCGTTTAGGAACAAGGCAGAATTGTACCAAAAACCTCCTAAATTCCCCTACCCTTGTCACTTAGCCTGTCATCCAAGTTCATCCATAATCAGTATTTCAACTTTTTAGAGCAGTATTTCCTTAAATGATCCTCTATTCTAGCTAACTGAGCCCTGTCTCTCTGCTTCCGCTCAAGCCACTGGAGAGAGAAGGTCATCACTTTGCACTCTGTCTCCCTTCCCCATCCTAAACCCCAGACCACCACCCACTTTAATACCTCTTCTCCATGAACAACTCTGGACTACACTCATGTCTCCTTTCTCTGGCTTACCAGGATTAACTGTATTCACACTCAGTTGATGCTAACAATGGCATATAACCGTTAGATCGTCACCAGCCTCTTTTATATGTCTTCTCTCACTCATAATTGATAACCACTAATTGACAGCTTTGGCTTTATATTGCAAATTGACAGATCCATCCATGTGCATGTGCTGTCCTGCAATTTCTAATGCCAGAACTATCTTTCTTATATTTCAGCTAGGTTCAAAACTAGGCCTCTCCTTCCACACATGCCACATTCAGTCACCAGAGCTTGTGAATTCTGTCATTATTGTATCTCTTGAAGCCACCCACCTTTTCCGTTCCTGCTGCCAGCATCCTTGTGTAGGCCTTGATTTCCTTGCCTGGACTGTTTGAAAAGTCTCCCACTGGCCTTCCTGACTCTAGTTTCCTCACCTCCAATCCAATGCAAACACCCAGCTAGATTAATCTTCCTAATACAGCTCCGTCTCACATTACTTCTCAAAGTAAACACCCTCCACGGTATCCCATAGACTATCAAATAAAGTATAAATTGCTCGTTCTGGCATAAACTAGCCCAAGGTAGTGAGTGCTGTGGTATGTCGCCCATCCTCCCCTTCACGTCAGGATATTTATTCCTCTAGACGTCAGCAATTCTGGCTACTGACAGGACACAATTGAATCCCTTTCCAGAAATTTCCTTTGGCAACAGGAGCTGTTTGTCTCAAGTTCTATTCCCCCCACCCCCACCCCAGGAGGCAGCCCACATGCAATGCTGGCTGTACGGACACAAAGACTGGGCTGGGTCTAGAACAACGTTGTAGTGCTCTGCCAGCTTCACACAGGACCAACCGAAGGGCCTTTTCCAGCTTCATGTTAGCTCAACTTTATCTCTACCCTATCCTGTTTCCTTTAGTCTCTCAGTTATTAAGCCCAAGGGAATTCCCCAATAAATACCACCCACTGGAATCTTCATCTCAGAACATGTGTCCAGAAGCTACAATGTAAGACATTAAAATACCTTTCTTCCACAGAATTCAGTTCTGTTTTCCATGTAGCCTCCGCTCCAGTCAAGCTGAGTGATCAACCTGCCATTCCTTAAGAACATTCACACCACCACTCATTTCACCCAACATAGGACCTTGCTGGCTGTCCAGCAAGTTACAGAATCTTTAAAAGATTGGACTAACAGCACATAAAAGGGCAAGCAGCCATTAGAACACAAAAGGAGCCATTGTTATGGTTCAGATGTGATTCAAGAGTCTGCTAAAGATTCCTGCATTGGAAGCTGATTCCCTAATTTGGCAGCATAGAGCAGTGGAACCCGTTAAGAGGTGGGGCTTGGGGCAGGGTGAGTAGGTCACTAAAGACAGAGACCAATAAGCTTCCTATGGGGTCCCAGTTAGTGTACAAAGAGTGGGTCATTGTTTTTTTATGGACCGGCCCCTCCCCAATCTCTGTACTCTTGTATTTCTATGCTATGTCCTTCTCCAGTCCCATTCCCACTGGGATATCCCTCCATAGTGCATCAGAGACTCAGGGCCTCACCATAAACCACCATGACAGAGTCAAGTGGTCTTGAATTTTCAGCCTCCAAAACTTTGAAGTTAAATACAATAAATAAATTTAGTTTTTATAAGTATTCAACCGCGGGTATTTTGTTACAGCAACAGAAAATGAAGTAATAAGGCACTAAGTTCCCAGTTGATATCATAGGGCAAACATAGAAGAGTATGCTAGACAGGGAAGAACATGACCAGAGTTCTAGAAATATGAAAATTCATCTACAAGAACATTTCAGAATAACTCTGAAGTCAAGGACTTTTGAGAAGTGGTAACAGAAGAAGGGGCATGAGATATCATCAAGGGCAGAACAGGAAAGGCAAGCCTGATAGATGACATTTGGAACAGGGGAAACATCGCATGGCTTGAAGGAAAAAACAACCTGAAAATAATATTTGCACTTCAGGAAAAACCTTCTAGGTACTGTACAGAGGAAAAGAATAGCTGGCTTTTGAAAGAAGTTAGCTTCTTCAGTCATCCAAGCAAAATAGAATGGGAACTGACCCAAAGGGATCCATTTACTCTGTGAAGGCTGATGAGAAGGAAGGAATCAACATCACTCCAGGCTGCTGATGACTTTCTGGAATAATTACCTGGATATTACTCACAGAGGTACAAAACTGAGAAAGATAGAGCTGTAGGAAGTAAAATAATGGTTCAATTTTAGTTGAGTGTGCTAAACTAGGGCGGAGTAGGAATGAACAGAAGACAGGCATGGAGGGCTGAGTGTGAGAAGAGCTGCCTAGCTGGAGACACGGGTCTGAAGCATCATCAGCCTGTATATATGCATATATACATATATACACACATATATATAGTCACAGAGAACTAGAGGGGAGATTGCAAAACACCACCAGGGAAGCAGAAAGAATCCCAGCAGAAAATGGGGCCAGGAAGCCCAGAGAGGACTTCAAGATGAAGGATATAGTCTACAGTCTCAAATATTCTTCAGGCCAAATTAAGTAAGACCCAAAAATGTATCCACTGGTTAGAAACAACCCTGTGCTACTGTTCCAACTACTAACCCACTCCTCCCAACCCCCCTCGACCACCTGGCCAGTCTGGAATGTTCTTTTCCACAATCAGAAACGATCCCATCTCTCAAGGCTGAGTTCTAATCACCTCACATTTGCCTACTGACATACCAAACATCACCGCAAGTTACCTCTCTGACCAACTGAGATTTTGAGGGTTAAGTCTGGCTATATATCTTGCTCCCCTTTATCTCATTGAAATATGGAAGCTATAGATCCCGAAAAGAAACTAAATACTTGTGCGGTTGGAGGGGGAGAGATGCCACAGAAGAAAGGGGCCAGAGAGTGAAAAGCACTTCTGAGAGCTGTCTGTGGGGCTCACCTGGCACTGACCATGTCAGCCAGAGCAGGACCCGCCTACTCAAGATGGTCTTCCCTGTACAGGCAAACGTGAGGCATGAAAAGACAGTGACAAGGCCTCTCTGCCTTTTCACTGTGTGAGATTAGTTTAGTGGCCCAGTCTAATGTCAGCACTGGAGGAAAACATCTCCCTCTTCCAAAGCCTGGCTGACCTCACTGGCTCCAGAAGGGAGGCCCTGAACAGCCCGTGAGAAGCAGATACTGTCTTCTGCTTTTTATTTGCCCGAGTATAAACTTCTAAAGAGGGAAGCCTATTTGCATAGTAGGCACAACTGCCAGCTTCACTCACCCTCTCGTGTTTAATGAGCCTGTTTTGTTTTACGGGCGCTTCAAACAAGCTGACAGAGAAGAGGCGGCTGCACACAGCCAACATGAAGCGACTTGCTGAGCCCTCAGTGTGAGGTCGGAGGCTTGCTCTGCTTCACCCCCCTCAGACCTACTTTTCCATGACTCCCCCTTCAAACACAGATCAAAACCCGAAGCAGTCGAGGAGAATTCTTGCTCTTCCAGAGTGTCAACAGAAGAGAGCGTTTCGAGGCGGCTGGAAGGAGACGCGGTGGCCAACACGAAAACAATGGACGTGATGGTCATGTGGTAGCTTTTGGAGCCGCTCGACTCAGAACTTCAAAATCTGGCTTCACAGCTGTGTGACCAGGAGTTATTCTGCCCTCCCTCCACTCTTGCCTAAGCAGCATTCCTCTTGGACTTCTTGGCATTTTGAACACCAGCAAATATTTACTCAGTGCCCAGGAGAGCATTTTGAATATGATTGGTCGTCACAGTGGCAACGCTCAACATTGGTAACAAATAAACCTTTAAGCTATAGCTTTTTCTCAATTAGGGGGATAGGGTAGTGAAAGTCCATATTAACCAAGATAGAAATTCCTAGCAGCTTGAATCTGAAATATGTTACCTTGAAGAAATGTTAGGTCAGAGGGCTGGAGAGATGGCTCGGTGGTTAAGAGCACTGAATGCTCTTCCAGAGTGCCCGGGGTTCAATTCCCAGTACTACATGGCAACTCACAACTGTCTGTAATTCCAGATCCAGGGGATCCTACCCCCATGACAAACACCAAAGGACAATAAATAAAAATAAACCCTGCAATAAAAAAAATAAGAAATGCCAAAATGCCCATTAGCAGTAAGCCATTCTCCCGGTGGCCTCTGTGCTCAGCACCTCCTGTCCGTTCAGAACGACTCCCACGTTAATATTTCTTATACCACCACACACTTCTCCCCTGGGTGGCTTTAGACTTGAAATGTGGCTCCCACCTACATCCCTGAGCCGGCAAAAGTACGTGATCACCTTCACGCCAGTCTGAGGTCATAAGGCACCATGACAGCAGAAGCAGCTGTCAAAGGAGACTTTCAGATGGGAAGACATACATATGGATCTCGGGAAGGAAGTGTGGATTTAGTCCAACACCAGCATTTTACCTGATTAAGACAGCGTTTCAACACGTGGAGACATCGGAAAGCTTTACCAAGACCGCATCCTTACAAGCACCTCCTCAGAAGCTCTGCTTTCTGCGTGTGGCCTGTTTTTAGTGCCCACAATCTATCACATTGTATTCAGATACCTTCATCATCCCAAGAACAGCTTTAGAGACTTCGAGGGGGAAATGGGTGGGAGTTAAACAATTGAGGTGAAAAGAACATTTACCAAACACAAACTATACACAAAAGTTGAGAAAGTATTTTTGATTAAGCCAAAGGAACTCCCCTCTACGCTGATGACAGGTGGGATTTTACAGATGCTTGGTTACACTGAGTCCTCACAACCATCTCCATATACAGACCGAACAATGAGTGAATACAAACTGACTTCCCAGAGAAGCTCAAGAAGAAAAGACTTCCTATATACAAAATTTGAGGCATTTCTTTTCTTATAACTTATCATAAAACTACTAACTTAAACCAGAATAAACGAGTGTTTCACTTTCAATATGCTTCTTTAACTGGGTTGCGTTTAATTAACCAGCTAATTTTTTATATAATTAACATAGTTGCTTCTTGCTTAAGAACATTAACTATACAATCATGATATCTTTCAGGAATTTGGATTTTTCTACCAGATTATTCTTTCTTAAAATGAAAGAAAGATTTATTTTAATGACAGGTCCATGTGGATACATATATGCCCACGGAGGCCAGAGAGGAAGCCAGACTCCCTGGAGCTGGTGCTGTAGGTGACTGTGAAATGATCTGTGCAGGTGCTGGCAAACAAGCTCAGGTCCTCTGGAAGGGCAATGTGTCCTTTAACCACTGTGCCATTTCTCCAGATCCATGACGATTTCATTTTCAGAATACTAACCTGAGCATCTGGACCTCCAGAACATTGTTCACTATTTATTTATTTATTTATTTATTTATTTATTTATTTATTTTGGTTTTTCGAGGCAGGGTTTCTCCGTAGCTTTGGTGCCTGTCCCGGAACTAGCTCTTGTAGACCAGGCTGGCCTCGAACTCCCAGAAATCCGCCTTCCTCTGCCTCCCAAGTGCTGGGATTAAAGGCGTGCGCCACCACCGCCCGGCTTCACAATTTATTCTATTTCTAATAATTAGTGGAAATTATGCTTGACTGAAATAACCCAAGCAGATCAGAAGTCAGAACCCACTTTCCAAAAGTGCCCACTAAATTAAGCAGTGGAGAAGAAACTATAACGTTGGACCAGCTCTTCTAAAAATTGAATCAATTTTTTAATTGGCCAAATTCAAAGATGGTATCTTTTTCAAATATTTATCTTTTAAAGTTGCTTCCAGGTAGGTTGGTGGAACTAGATGCTACCTCCTTGTCAGCCAGTGAAGATAGTCAATTCAAAGGAAAAGGAGGCCATTTTGAGAAAGGAAGACCATAAGAACCAGTAAAGAACTTAAAAGCTAAAGAGTGGAGAGAAAGACAACACAAAGAGTTCAGTCAGAAACAGCATCATGGACAGCTCCACCGAGGAAACCACTTCCTAAGGCAACTGATCTTCTCTTTGCCACATTGCTCTTAGATTCAGCTAAGTGGACTGCTCAGTGAGAGGATCCTCTTTTCTCAAGAAAACAAAGATATCCCAACCAACAGATATACAAATAGTACCATAGAGACACACAAACATAGTGCAACGGAGTGAACCTAGCAAAGTAATGGGAGATACAGAACCTGAATCGCTTTCTTCTGTAAGCAGGCAAGGCTTCCAGTGGAGGGACTGGAACATCAACCCAGCTGCAAAACCTTCCACCTCTCTGTCCTGCCTGCAAGGTATAAAGGTGGTGCACAACTCATTGGAGCGGCCAACCAATGATTCGTCCAACTTGAGACTCACACTTATGAGAAGGAGTCCATGCCTGGCATTGCCTGGATGGCTAAGAACTAGAGGCTAGATATTCCAGAGACCTCTGACAGAGTCAAACACAACTGGCAACAAAAGTCAATGAAAGGATTCTTGATGACTTTCTGTTATACTTGTAGGCCAGAGCCTAGAATAATCATCATCAGAGAGGCTCTGTCTAGCAACTGATGGAAGCAGACGTGGAGACCCAGAGCTAAACATTAGGTGGAACTTGGGGCATCCTGTGAAAGGGAGGGAGAAATGATTGTAAGAGGCAAGGCTCACAGATACCAGGAGAACATAGACACAGAATCAACTAAGCAGGGTTCACAGGGGCTCACCAAGACTGAAGCAATAAACAGGGTGCCTGTTTGGGTCTGACCTTCATCTTCTGCATGGATGTTACAGTTGTGTAGCTTGCTACTCTTATGGGACTCTTAACAGTGGGAGTTGGGGTGTCTGACTCTTTTTCTTGCTCTTGGGACCCTTTCCCTCCTACTGGGTTGCCTCATTCAGGCTTAATGTGAGGGTATGTGCCTAGTCTTATTATAATTTATTATGCCATGTTCAGTTGATATCCCTGGGAGTCCTGCCCTTTTCTGAAGAAAGGAGGAGTAGATCTCAGAGAGAATAGAGGTGAGGGGGACATGGAAGGTGTAGAGGGAGGGGAAGCTGCAGACAGGATCTTATATATGAGAGAAGAATAAAGGAAGATGGAGAAAGAGGAGAGAGAGGGAGAGAGGGAGGGAGGGAAAGAGAGAGAGAGAGAGAGAGAGAGAGAGAGAGAGAGAGAGAGAGAGAAGCCAAGGCAACAAGACTCCTATAAGAGATGGTGACTTCTGGTATAACGAACTCAAACACATTTAAACAGTTAAAAGGCCAGACAAATGTTTCAAAAGTTTTCTGTTACAAATGATAAATGATGTAAAAAAAAAAAGATACAAACAAACAAGCAGGTCAGTTCAATACAGAAACTGGAGAAGAATGTCTGAAAGGTCAGCAAAATGTATGGGGAAAACAGAATTGTGGATGAAAAGGTCAGTAGTGTGGGAAAGTTCAGCAAGGAGGTGGGGATTTAGGAGAGAAAGACAAAAGCATTATAAGGAAAAATGCAATGAACCATATAAAAATCACAATGGAAACCACTGTTAATAGCTTTGACCATGCAGAAGAAAGAATATCAAGGATGGAAGACAAGGATTAAAATGCTACACTCAGATGCCAATACAGGAGAAAGTAACACATGAATGTAACTAAAACATGAAGAAACTCTGGTGTGACTAAGAAACAAGATCTAAGAACCTATGGAACAGAAGTGTCTGAAGTAAATCCTAAACAAAAAGATCATAGTATAATTTTAAAAAATAAATCTAGAAAAAGAAATAGACATTCAAACAGAAAAGGCTTTAAAAACCCCAAATACCAATGACCAGAGAGAAACCTCTCTTTGACATATTATAGTTTTCTTTTAAAAATACAAAGTAAAGAATATTAAAATGCTGTGAGGGAAAGTCACCAGCTCGTCTGCAAAGGTGGAAACAGCAGGACAATGCGTATTCTCTCATCAACAAATGTAAAATGCAAGGACGCATGGAATGACATATTAATTATATTTCTTGAGCTCTGAAAGCATGTAACTACAAACCAAGATTCTTATATGCAGCAAAGCTGTCTTTTAAAATAAACAGAAAATTAAGGATATTTCAAGTCAAGTATAAACTACAGTGGTTATTGATTATGAAGTCAGCATGACAAACAATACTTAAGAGAGTAGATACTCTACATCCAGGATGAAGAAAGACATATCAAACATAAGACTATAGTAAAAAAATTTTTTATTAGAGGAACAGATGAACTGAAGAGAAATTGGAAGGAGTCCTTTCTATACAATAAAAGTAAGTCAGCAAACCTCAAATACCAGAATGGAGAAAAGCAAATAAGAAAAAATCCAACCAACCATAAAATAATCAACAAAATGACACAAACTAGTAAGAATATCTCAATTGTATACTTAAGTGTAAATGGCCTCAATTCACCACTAAAGAGAATCAGATTGACTCAATTAAAAACTGCATACAACTATCTGTTGTCTTCAAGAAACATACCTCACTGATGCTGAAAGCCAAAGAGTAGAAAACAATCAATCAAATGAACAGAAACTGAAAATAAGTTACCTAGGGTTCTCTGATATCTAACAGGCTTCCAACAAATGTCTTTAGAAGAAATAAAGATGACTCTTACATTAGGACATTGTCTTAGTTAAGGTTTCTGTTTTTATTTTAATTAATTTTTATTTATTTATTCATTTATTTTTTT